CCAACAATCCCCTGGTCTGTATCTGGTTTACAACCCAACCTCAGGGAATACAGCCCACAGATTGATTTCCTTTCTTGCCGTTTACAAGCATTGTTGTACCAGTTTAGTTGCAGTGTTTATGGAACTGTTAACTCTCAGCTCTCCACTGTAGCTGGCTCTGTCCAGACAATGTGTTATATCTTCATGTCTGGCCAGAGGTAAATGGACAGGTGAAATTGAGATAATGGGAGAAGATGAGGTTGGTGGGTTTTTGTGCTTCTGAGGGGAGGACAGGTCCCAAATTAATTATGGGTAATGTAGTCTGAATGCGAGTAACTCCAAGCCTCCAAATCTCATTAGGCCTGCATTAGCAGCTGTGTGGGAGAGGAGATGGCTTTTAGTGGGGACCACTCAGACACAGCCTCTCAAACCAGCCTCATTCACTCAGCCCAGTGAGGAAACCCAGGGAATAATGAATGGGTTGGGATGGGCTGTGCCTGGAGTAGGGCAGACAGAGACAGAAAGGCAAGAGTCAGCCAGACAGAGGCAGAAAGGTCTGGAGTAGGGCAGACAGAGACAGAAAGGTCTGGAGTAGGGCAGACAGAGACAGAAAGGCAGCTAGATTCACCTATGTTTACCAAGCAACACCAGGCAGGGTAATGACAGAGTAACGATACCTATGTTTACCAAGCAACACCAGGCAGGGTAATGACAGAGTAACGATACCTACGTTTACCAAGCAACACCAGGCAGGGTAATGACAGAGTAATGATACCTACGTTTACCAAGCAACACCAGGCAGGGTAATGACAGAGTAACGATACCTACGTTTACCAAGCAACACCAGGCAGGGTAATGACAGAGCGAGATAAGAGAGAGAACAGACAGACAGACAGACAGACATACAGACACACACAGACAGACAGACAGACAGACAGACAGACAGACAGACAGACAGACAGACAGACAGACAGACAGACAGACAGACCACCAACCACCAGAAAACATCAGGACACCAGTAACCACTAGACAACATCAGGACACCAGTAACCACTAGACAACATCAGGACACCAGTAACCACTAGACAACATCAGGACACCAGGTAACCACTAGACAACATCAGGACACCAGTAACCACTAGACAACATCAGGACACCAGTAACCACTAGACAACATCAGGACACCAGTAACCACTAGACAACATCAGGACACCAGTAACCACCAGACAACATCAGGACACCAGTAACCACTAGACAACATCAGGACACCAGTAACCACCAGACAACATCAGGACACCGGTAACCACCAGACAACATCAGAACACCAGTAACCACCAGACAACATCAGGACACCAGTAACGATCCATTAGAACACCAGTAACCACTAGACACCATCAGGACACCAGTAACTATCCATTAGGACACCAGTAACCACCAGACAACATCAGGACACCAGTAACTATCCATTAGAACACCAGTAACCACCAGACAACATCAGTACACCAGTAACCACCAGACAACATCAGAACACCAGTAACGATCCATTAGAACACCAGTAACCACTAGACAACATCAGGACACCAGTAACTATCCATTAGGACACCAGTAACCACCAGACAACATCAGGACACCAGTAACCCCCAGACAATCCAGGGACAACAGTAACCCCCAGACTTCCCTGGGACAACATACATCAGGACAGCAGTATAAACAGAGGAAACGTAACACCCAATGAGCTTTGCAGTTATAGCAATGTTCCCTCAAAAAAAAATGAGGCACTGAGCAAATGTCAGTTCTGCTGAGCGCAAACTTGAACGTTGTGAAAATTCTGTGCTACTTCCAGCTTGTGTTTACTGTGAACACTGAGGCTGTATCAGCTTTAAGTTACAGTTTAATTAGTGGCCAAGTAGGCTACTGTGCATATTTGATCATAATGTAGGCCTACCAGAGTGGAGAAAAACAATTGAGAAAATGCATCCCATAACATTTTTACATGGAAATAGTTGTTCTATCATTCAGCCTACAGTAGCATCCAATGTGTGGTTTTCAACGTAGGCCTACATTCCATGAGACTTTTGAAAAAAAACATGCAGGGCTTGACATGAACCTGTTTATCCACTTGTCCTTCAGACAAAGACGTGACTGAAAATGTTGCTGCGTTGTTTGATGCAAAATAAAATGCATTATTATTCCCGTACCATTAATACAGAGAATCCGACAAATTATGAGACCCTCTTCCTATTGGCTACTTAGCTGTCTCAAAATACAACACTGCCCCTTTAAGACAAAAAAAAAAGCTCTTTACCTGACTCACTTTTCTAATATGTCTAGAAATGGACACGTTTTGTGCTCTTGTAGGAAGCAATCCCTCCCCTATTGCTGACTACAAATGATCTATAACGGGGCTAATAACTCACTAACTAGCAAAGGATATAAACAAAATGTGCACACGTGGCTACACGCAGCTCTCGCTTTGATCTCAAAACAAGCGCATCTACTCACGACCACAGCTGTAAACACA